TGCAGTCTCTGACCATCTCCTGTACCGGGTGTGCAGTCTCTGACCATCTCCTGTACCGTGTGTGCAGTCTCTGACCATCTACTGTACCGTGTGTGCAGTCTCTGACCATCTCCTGTACCGTGTGTGCAGTCTCTGACCATCTCCTGTACCGTGTATGCAGTCACTGACCATCTCCTGTACCGTGTATGCAGTCTCTGACCATCTTCTGCACTATGAGTGCAGTCTCTGACTATCTTCTGTACCGTGTGTGCAGTCTCTGACCATCTCCTGTACCGTGTGTGCAGTCTCTGACCATCTCCTGTACCGTGTATGCAGTCTCTGACCATCTCCTGTACCGGGTGTGCAGTCTCTGACCATCTTCTGTACTATGAGTGCAGTCTCTGACTATCTTCTGTACCGTGTGTGCAGTCTCTGACCATCTACTGTACCGTGTGTGCAGTCTCTGACCATCTCTTGTACTGTGTCTGCAGTCTCTGACCATCACCTGTAGTATATATACTGTATAGTCTCTGACCATCTCCAGTAGCATGTTCACAGTGTCTGACCATCTCCTGTATCATGTCTGCAATCTCTGACCTTTTCCTGTAGTATGGCTACAGTGTCTGACCATCTCCTGTAGTATGCCCACAGTCTCTGACCATCTCCTGTAGTGTGGCCACAGTGTCTGACCATCTCCTGTTGTGTGGCCAAGTCTCTGACCATCTCCTGTAGTATGCCGACAGTCTCTGACCATCTCCTGTAGTATGCCCACAGTCTCTGACCATCTCCTGTAGTATGCCCACAGTCTCTGACTATCTCCTGTAGTATGCCCACAGTCTCTGACCATCTCCTGTAGTGTGGCCACAGTGTCTGACCATCTCCTGTTGTGTGGCCAAGTCTCTGACCATCTCCTGTAGTATGCCGACAGTCTCTGACCATCTCCTGTAGTATGCCCACAGTCTCTGACCATCTCCTGTAGTATGCCCACAGTCTCTGACTATCTCCTGTAGTATGCCCACAGTCTCTGACCATCTCCTGTAGTGTGGCCACAGTGTCTGACCATCTCCTGTTGTGTGGCCAAGTCTCTGACCATCTCCTGTAGTATGCCCACAGTGTCTGACCATCTCCGTAGATTTACAGTATATAGTATAATGTGGGATACCTGACACTCACCTTTCTGATGGGAACATAGTTTGTTGGCTCTGGCGTCTTCCTAATCTTCTGCAGCCCCGCCTTCCCACAACTGGAATTAGTTTTGCTGTAGTCACACTGAAGGATTTCTCAGGCAGTAGTAAATGGTAGAATGTCACCAGCAATCCAAAGATGTGTTTCCAAACTTTATTGTCAACACATCATGTAACATAACAAAATGCCAACATTTTGGGGCCTCAAAAGGGTCCCCTTCCTCAGGTCACTGACAAAGGGGACCCTACGAGGCCGCCTGCAGGGCCCCATTAGTTGTGGTCACCACAAGTACCCCCTTGGACTTCATTTGGTTAAGCACTGACTGTCAGGACTGTACAGCTCTACACCAGAATGACTTTACAAGATGTGGAAGCAGGGCAGCCATCAGAAATTTTGGGGCCCCTTACACAGCTTTAGGCCTGAGCTCTGGGCTTAGTAGCGCGCCGGACTCTGGGCTTCGTAACGCGCCGGACTCTGGGCTGCATTACCGGGCTCTGGGCTTAGTAGCGCGCCGGGCTCTGGGCTTAGTAACGTGTCAAGCTCTGGGCTGCGTTGCCGGGCTCTGGGCTTAGTAACGTGTCAAGCTCTGGGCTGCGTTGCCGGGCTCTGGGCTTAGTAACGTGTCAAGCTCTGGGCTGCGTTGCCGGGCTCTGGGCTTAGTAACGTGTCAAGCTCTGGGCTGCGTTGCCGGGCTCTGGGCTTAGTAACGTGTCAAGCTCTGGGCTGCGTTGCCGGGCTCTGGGCTTAGTAACGTGTCAAGCTCTGGGCTGCGTTGCCGGGCTCTGGGCTTAGTAACGTGTCAAGCTCTGGGCTGCGTTGCCGGGCTCTGGGCTTAGTAACGTGTCAAGCTCTGGGCTGCGTTGCCGGGCTCTGGGCTTAGTAACGTGTCAAGCTCTGGGCTGCGTTGCCGGGCTCTGGGCTTAGTAACGTG